GAGTGATGCCTCGGACTATTTTTCTCTGCGATCTAGTCGGAAAACGTCAGTCTTGGGTCAAGTCTCACTTTTCGCCGAGGTTCTGCCACGCATATTGCTGTTCTCTCCAGCGAAATTCTACCCAACACCTCCTACAAACTTGCCAAAAAATCCTTCATGCGTGCGTCAAGAATTCTGACTGTCCTTCAAATGCGTCATGATGTCCACGCTTTGCTATTGTGTAAAACCCCTCATACTCTTTTCGTTGCACGATTGGCAACTAAACTCTTGGAAGCATAACATCCCCTCATACGTGCTGTTGGTGGCTTGATAACCCCTCACACGTTCGGTTATCTCGTTCGTGACAACCGTACTCTCTCTTTCATCCCAACACCACACATTTCGCAGAATTCCAAACACAGGAAACGATTCAGACACAAACCTAAAAATCTTTCGGAACACAAAAAAAGGCCATTCATCTTCGGACTGAGGACATACCATTTCATCACGTGCCTGAGCGGGTCTGGGACCCTAGTAGCAGAAGTGGTGCTGCTGTAATGCGCTNCAAGGCCATATTCGTCTTCGGACAGAGGACATGATCATTTCATCACGTGCCTGAGCGGGTCTGGGACCCTAGTAGCAGAAGTGGTGCTGCTGTAATGCGCTGAGCCGCCCCTCGGGGGCTCGCGCGATGGTCAGGGGGATGTCGTCCGTGGGCGTGGTCGATGATTCTAGGCGCGCTCCCTGCTGCTGGCCTACCTCGGACTCTTCGCTCTCTCGCATGACTTTTATCCAACCCTCTCCTGCTTTCACCTCGCAGCTGACGTCCGGACTCCCGTTGACTTCTTCTGCTTCAACCCGCGCGCTCTTGTCGACGGTGCGGGAGCTATCTTGTTCTTAGTTCCTGGCGTCCTCCGCTGCTTGGCGGGCCTCCGCTGCTTGGCGGGCTTCATCTTCACGCCTGGTAGCCATCTTGACCCTGCTCTCGATCGCCGCAAAGCGATACTCCAAAACCAAGCTCGACCGCGAATCTCGTAGACGACGTGTCATACGCTAGCGTGATCGATAATTCGGGTGGCCCAGTTCTATGTGCTTGGAGTTTAGAACGGGTGGACCATGACGGGGCGTGGATGGGTAAAAACGTGTTGGGAAACGTGTTGTCATAATCGGGGGCGTGCTTGAGCTCGTCATTCCATCACGGCATCAAGTCACGCAGAACGCTCAAACACCCAAAACGAATCTTCATGAATCTCCACCAATCTACCACACTCCCAAGGAAAACATAAAAGAAACTTCTTGTTCCTCCGTAGTTCGTCACTGCAATTCCCGCATACGTATACGCAATATACCACCCGCATGCTATGCTCCGAGTATATCGAATACACTCTTCTGCTAGACCAGGTCCTACAAAGTATATAGAAGACATTTGTGTCTAGAGAATAGTTGGATCTTTGCGCACTGGTCTCCCGGCGCCCTCAGTCGATGCTTGCTTCAAATATATCTATCGCCTACGAACGCACACAATTGAGACCGCAAGACGTGTTGGCGTTCATTTCTCGCTGTGAGACCGTCGCGTATTTTATTTGATCAACTGGTTAGCGCGGCGAATGTAAGTGACAATAGCACGGCACACACGAAAGCTTTGGCTCCATTGACGCCCACAACACAAATTCGAGCAAATGATCATGTGTGACATCATATGTGGATTATCCGAGAGGACGTCCTCTGCCCTCTCGCCCATCAGCTCACACTCTGCTACTTCCCGCCCTGTCTGCACTCCCGAGCAGCTCAAGATCCCCTGAGGCCCCCAAGAACGCACTGTGAGTGTGGCCTTTGTGTCTACTGCTGTATGTCGTGGCAGTGCACTCTAGTCTACGGATGATTTCCTTCTTTCTGGGGTATCCTGTCGCTTGCTGTATGTGCACCCGATCTACAGAGCACCGTATCGTGCACAAATAATTTGTCTCAAAGTTCTTTACACCGGGATGTTTGTGATGTTTGGGTGGTTGGGTTTTCTCCTCAATCCAGTCATAGCCGTGCGCTCTTGGAACTGCAGACAGTGGCAGCCATGATCTGATCACCCACAGAGGAAATAATAAAACCCATGTATCTCCCAATCTCTCTCAATCCCGAAGCGAGATAATGTAGTGCCCAAACTCTCCAAGGCCGTCGGAGAAATAGGATACATTTACCGTGAACCTAGTACTTGCAGCCCCTNGGAACTGCAGACAGTGGCAGCCATGATCTGATCACCCACAGAGGAAATAATAAAACCCATGTATCTCCCAATCTCTCTCAATCCCGAAGCGAGATAATGTAGTGCCCAAACTCTCCAAGGCCGTCGGAGAAATAGGATACATTTACCGTGAACCTAGTACTTGCAGCCCCTTACCTGTCGTTTTCCCTGCGTAGGACCCTACCTAGCGGGGACGTTGTACGCGGTGCAAGTATTGAATGCCCCACAACAGTCATGCTTTTGGTATCACAAACCCGTGATTGCGTTTTTCGACAATCGATTTTTTTTNCGTTGTACGCGGTGCAAGTATTGAATGCCCCACAACAACTAGTCATGCTTTTGGTATCACAAACCCGTGATTGCGTTTTTCGACAATCGATTCTCCTCCCAAACTTCACAAGCCTTTGTACAGAGGATGCAGATGGGAAACAGTGAAAGGGCGAAGAGCCGCAAAAAGACCATCTCGCACGTATGCCTGACGAACAATGGTCTTTTGCTGTCAGGTGTCAGCTTTCCAGCAATTTCGAGGTCAAGATGCATCTCCTTTCGCTGGCGCTACCGACTCTCCTCCTCGGCGTCGCCGTTGGTAAGAGGCAATGATGTACGAAGCATTACTCTTTTTGATCGGGAAGTGGATTGTCCTCTAAAACTCTGCCTACTAAAAAAATAACCCGGTGGATGAATCGGGGATGTTCTCTGAAGCCAACCGATTCGGTCATTGTACCAGAATAGCCGAAACAGAAACAGTTTCTCGGAGCTCCCACGAGCGGCTTCAATACTCGCGAGCTGCTGAGGCATCGTGTTCTACACGCACACCTACGACTTTAGATAATGAGTTTTGGATGAATCCAATCTGAGATGGGTCAAACGTCACAACAGCACGATTTGACCGCTTGTGCCCCTTACACCTAAACTACAAGTAGTCGAGCAACGAATACCGCGAGACCGTCCAGCTCCGAGGCGTGAGTACATATGTGCGTGCCTCTTGTTTGTGTCTTTGCACATTTGGAGCAAGCTTCAAGGTTCGTGAGATTATCGCGTCGTCTGACTGTTGCCGGAGCAGGTCAGTCCGATGATCCATCTTACCTCGGGTGCTTCTCGGACCCTGCTGAGAACCGCGTCTTCGAATGGCAGTCTTCTACCTCTGCTATGAACGCAAACGTGAGCGATCGATCGATGATGGGCGGACGCACGCCAGGATATTTGTGTTTACTTGGTTGCGTTGTGTTGTCGGCACGAAGGGGTCTGCGTGCGAGTCGCATTGCGTTGTCGGCAAGATGGGGTCTGCGTGCGAGTTGAAGCATACTCATGTTGACCTGCTCACGGCAGTTGGTGCTGCTCATGTCGTCAGAGAATCACACAGGTGTCATCCACGCTTTCAAAGTAGCTTTGTGACCCCTGATCCCCAATGACACATCCAGTGCGGCCATGGCGGTTTCTGCGGACGTGCCCACCATTCCTTCACGCGACCCCTAACACTGACCATCGACGGCTTTGCACGCATTCATGCAATACTTCGACCCCAGGAGTGTTCGGAGCTCTGCTCTGAGTCGGACTTCTATGGGACCCAGTATTCGACAGAGGCAAGAATATTCTNCTGCTCTGGGTCGGACTTCTATGGGACCCAGTATTCGACAGAGGTAAGAATATTCAATTTGAAAACAAAGGGATCATTACCATGTGCCGATCAACAGAGAAGGCGACGAACGGCATCGTGATCGCGGAAAATAGTGAAAGACGGTTCAGTGATTCGGGGATGGAGGTTGCGGGACCAAAAAATGCATAGTCGAGCCTTGGGGCATCATGCCTTCTTTGTGCCACGGAACAAGGACAACCTGCGAGGCCGAAAGGATTGGCAGGTCCCCGGTGTACAATATTTTGATTGATGGTTTGTTGCTTGATCTCCTGAAGTGCTACACAAGCGAGGTTATTATTAACAGTGATTGTGGTTTCATCTTCTACCGGACTCAGTGATCGCACAGCATCACGCCTTGATCTATTCGGAACGGTCGACTCGCGATCGGGGGCAACTGATGACAGCATCCTTCGCGAATCGAGATGCTGTGTGGTCCTCCGTGTTTGATTCTCTCTTCTCCTCGGCGGACCGTGGTTCGACGCCACTACCACCGCCACGATTGCTTTCCTCACCCCACTCTCCGTAGCGACAAACATCGCACGCCGCTCTCGCAACCACGACGCTCCCGCACTCCTTTGACGCCACCACTAAAATCATTCCGAACGTACGTCGTTCGTTTCAATTCAACAAGTGCTGGTGCGGTGACAACGTCGGATACGCCATCAATGTGCCCGGCGACTGCGCCATGCCCTGCTCCGGCGACTCTGACGAGATCTGTGGCGGGTCGTACGCTCTCTCCGTCTACTCGAACGACCCCGACTACCTTGGGTACTGGAGCGATCCCCACTCGGCGGAAGTGCGGCTCTTCCCATCCTGATCGACACATCGGACGACATGACTACTGCGGTGAGCAACCAGCACATGTATGCAGCAGGCTAGAGACTGCTCGTCGTACAACGCGCCCAGCAGTTGGGTTCGGGGTTCGTCATTGTGCATTGTGTACATTTTCCTTACTCCCTGAGGCTACGGTGATGTGCTGCATGTTGGTGTCAATCCGTACTTGGGACGTGAAGAGCCGAAGACTACATTAGGGACTCCAAAAGGGTAAGCAGCTGTCGACCTCGCCGGCCCATCCGACAGAATGATCAATAATGAGGCCAGGAAATTCCGATGGCGTCGCGTGCTGCGGTCGCCGACGGGGGAAGAAGAATGATCGACGAGCTCCTTCGTTACGAGCAGCCGGATCGAGTTGCTCCCTTCCAAACCGCTATTGTAACAAATGGCGGGTTTGTTTATCCAACAAACGAGGTTTGTCAATCCGTCGCTCTTCAACGCTAGCAGCTACGTACGGGGTGTTCTATCACGTCAACATCTCAGCACAACACGAATTGCATGAATCGACAACCTACATTTTCGAATTGACCTATGCGCCACGGCTGATGATGGACAAATTCTTCCAATCGATGCGCCACTTGACGTCCGGCTGTATTCCACGCTGCAGATCTCCGAAGGCCTCTGTGCCAATTATGCGTATTACGGGACGCAGTATGGAACCGAGGTGAGATGAGCGTTTTCCTTGCTCTGGCGAGAAATTTGTGTGCGAGACGCCCGTGGGTCGTCACAGGCTGCGACTTCGCCATTCAAGTCAGGAGCCCTCGGAGGCGTCATTACCTGCCCGTTCCGAGTGAAGAATGAGGCTCTGTCTGTTCACTATGTACGCTAGTTTAAAAGGAAACCTCCTCCGTAGCACAAACACCGCGAGGATATTGACATGCTTGCGGACGGACAAGTCATTGCTTCATGATCGGGTTCCAAGTTTGCACTGGCTTCAGTGAGACAAGGAACAGCGTGCCAGACCGAAACAGAAACATGGCGGGATTGCTTTCTCTGTTGCAGACTACTTGCACACACATGTACTGTAGTACAGACACCTATACGATCCTGGTGCGCGCGGCATCACGAAGCTTTCCTCGAACCCAGCCGCGCTTGTGGACGTTGGCTCATCAGTCTATTAAACTCCGCCCTCCATTTGTCACGCCCAGAAAACGGCTCATCTCTTGTTGAAAAATAAATGCTCTCGCCCGTTCCTTGGCTGTGCTCGTGTTTGTAACCTGGAAACAATGCTGGTGCGATGAGGGCACGGCGGACTATGCGCAAAATGGTCTTGCCGTCTGCGACTATGAGTGTGGTGGATCCACCGACGGCGAGTTCTGCGGGGGGTTTGACGCCATGTCCATTCGCCANTGCCTCCTTACGTGCCTCTGAGATTCGCCTGGACGTTTATCCGCACAACGGTGTGGGTATGCCCATGGTGTTCTCCTGACGGGGGATCGCGGTACTCAAATTGGAGAATGCTTCTCCTCGGGCCGATGGTGGTTCTGTGTTGTTCGTTCTTCTGCCTCCAGTTCTCGTGTGGCATTATATATGTCCTGACACCACCGTCAGTTTTGCACCCACCTATATACTGTGTCCCTCCCTCAGTTTCGTCGATGTCTACGTTTATACCACCGTGTACCCCCCACTGTTGCATCCCTTCGACAACAGTGCTGGTGCGGTGACATCAACGCCCAATACTCCGTCAATGGCGTCGGCGAGTGCGACATGACCTGCTCGGGCAACTCCGAAGAATCCTGTGGGGGTTCCTACAGCATGGACGTATACGCCCAGGACCCGGCGTACCTTGGGTGCTTTTCGGACCCCGCCGACGGCCGCATGTTCGTGTGGGAGAGTTCCAACACCGCTATGACCGCAGAGGCGAGCCGTTAACCGATTAACGACGTTGGATTGCCTGAATCTAAAATTATCCCTTTTAACACGAGCATTGCGCTTCGCAATATGTGTGTTGTGGTATTGATGCTGGTTCTGGTTCTTGCAAAGGAAAACATCAACCATTGTCGCCATTTCGTAACCCAACTCGTTGCGAACTTCCCCCCCGTCCATGTGCCTCACCTTCGATTGGTACTGATGTAAAGATACGGGCGTGAACATTGGGGGCGAAATGTTGCACTCTTGGTAGAAAATGTGTATAAAAAGTCCTGTTTCGGTGAATTAGGACGCGGCCGACAGGTTCACGCAGAGGGTGTCTCCCTTTTCAAAAGTGTCANGAACACCCCCCCCCGTCCATGTGTCTCACTTTCGATTGGTACTGATGTAACGGTACGGGGGTGAACATTGGGGGCGAAATGTTGCACCCTTGGTAGAAAATGTGTATAAAAAGTCCTGTTTCGGTGAAACAGGACGCGGCCGACAGGTTCACGTGGAGGGTGTCTCCCTACTCAAAAGTGTCATATACATGAGGTGACCCCCCCCCCACCGTAGTGTTTCTTTTGGGTCCTCACTAGAGTACATCTCCCCCGCCCCCTTGACCGTCGACCGTTGCTCGTGCGCACACGTGCATGGCCTAACGACAGGCCTGCGCCTCACTCTGCAGCGGCTCGGCCTACTACGGAACCCAGTATCTCAAGAGGTATGACGTCTTGTGGTCGTGTCCAAAGGGTGTCAGTCGTGCTCTGTAGGCCAGTGTTGTGCGAGAAGAGCGACAATTGGAAGCCGTTGCGGGCGCTTTGGGATGACCATGGCCGCCAGCGTGAATCTGTTCCACGTGTCTCGCAGTGATTCCAGATGTCATAGTTGATTGTCCATCGTCTAGATGAATACCACATGCATGATACACGTGCCGAGTCATACGTATCTGCTCATTTGGTGAGGACACTTACTTGTAGCGGTTTCAACCATCGTACCTTCGCTTCTCTGGGCCACCGAGAGGTGCCTAGCTCTCTGGGACCGACGCTGTGTTGGTTTTCGTTCCTTGCTTGTTCCTCATGACACCGATGATATGTGTGCAACAGACTTGGAAGTGACATTCATGGGCTATGTGCCTCTGCTTAAGAATCATACCTATTTACGAAGAGAGCCTTGACTTGACCGTCGCGGTCTCCGGAATCCTTTAGCGGAACGGGTCGCGTTCGTGCATCGATCTCCACCATGTAGCGGCGACCTGCGGTGTTCTTGCCCCACTGGTTGCCCTAGATTTTTCCCTGACACCGGCACCTCTGCCGAGCTCACCAGTTTCACCTGGTTTGATGAAGCATCCAACCTCAAGCATGCCATTTGGAGACCCGTTCCCGCCGCACGTTCATGCCCCCCCTTGGGTGTTGATGCTGCTGCATGAAACAGTGCTGGTGCGGCGACAACGCCGACTACGCTGCCAATGGTTTCGGCGCCTGCGACATGCCCTGTACGGGGAACTCGGACGAAATGTACGGTGGCCCCTACACCATGTCGGTGTACCAAGCCATCTAGATTGGTCGTCCACCTGGTTGCTTGATCAAGGTAAGCCGCCGCCACCACGTTTTACTCTGAAATGCAAAAAACTGGCAAGAATATCTCGTGTGAACATAGTGGAGGCAGAGAAATATCGAACGCCCAGAGGCGTACGTAGAAGGTTCTTAAGCCGGATATGTGGTCAATAGTCCACGAGACTTACGAAAGGAATGCATGAGTACGCACGCCCTCCGGGATCGTGTATGGATGCTCGTTTGGGTAGAACGTACAATGGCTGGTTGGTGAGAAACATTTAGGTAAGCAGCAAGGAAGGGTTGAGGAATCGACATTTCCACAAGGATCTAGCAGGGCAGGATTGTCTGTGTGTGACAACCTGGTTGACCTTACATTTTGATGCTCGCCAAGTTCTTCCCCTGGCAACATCCGGTCGTTGCACCACAGGGGCAAAGCTACGGGTAAGGACTGTGCCGTGAATGTCTCCGGCCATTCAGTAACCATCCGGTGGCGATGAGTTGGTGAACGTCCGACACGCAACTCGCGTGGTAGACCCTTGAGCAGTGGGTATTGCAACACTGCTGCGGGTGGGCTACATGACAATGGTGTTGTGATTGCTTCTGCATTACTCCTATTTCGCATGTGACCTGGCTATCGTCTTCACTGTTCCTCGACGCTGCCTTGGACCATCTCTTGTTCGCAGAAACGTCGCCGAGCTACGGGCATGGCAAAAAAAGTGGCATTCACACGAGCGAAGCGTATGTCAGTCTTGTTCCTCGACGAAAGTGACAATATCTGGGTCGATATAGGGCCACCTTCTCCTACCTCAACAAGGGATCATTGTGCACGCCACCAATGTCAAGGGACAGGTTTTCAAAACATATTTGCAACGTACATCGGGCTTTCGGCTCGGAAGAAAAACCGAAAGCAGGCGTGGAGGCGGGGATGATTGGTGTGTTTGTGCTTCAAGGTTTGAGGTTTTGATATTTGGACGTTTCTGAATAATTTCGCGGGCCCGGCTTGAGAAGGAAGGACAGAGGTCTCGACGATAGAAGTGGGATAGGAAGCAGTGTGACAGAGGGAGTATTGCCGATTCAAGGTGGTCACAACATGCCCGACGTTGCGGTGGGCGTGTACATGGCAGAGTCGGGGGGCAAGAGCGTGTCGAGGTACGGGCGCGATCGGCTAAGGTTTGTTTCCCATTCGCCGCTCTCTACTTCCAGTATATATTCATGCCGGTCAGGTTGTCAACTAGACCAGAGCCCGCCGGCAGGGCTATCTCGCAAGTTAGTTATATTTGGCTCGGTTTTCTTGTCTGGAGTGTAACAAGGGATGTGTACCAATGTTGGAGTTGGGCCTCTGCAGGTCTTTTTCATCTGTACGGGTGTACGTTCGCGTTTGAAGTGTGGTAGTGTTGCGAAGGCGCGCAGGTGGAACTGGTAGCAGGGAAGATCCCCAGGCTATCTCAGCTGGTGCTGCTACTTTTGGTTCAGGTTGTCGACAGGACATCGCTCACCGTGTTTTTGTCAAATACATTCGGAAATCATGCGTCATAAGGGTCCATTCTGAAAAGAAGTTGCGGGTTTCAACCCTGGAGTGGCGGAGTGAGTCCCGGTGGCGCGTGGATACGCCCGCCCCTTGACCTGAGACCAAACGAGTACTGAAAACAAAGGATATGCGTTCTCAGATGATGACGACGGCGCACAAGCCGTGACCGTGGCACGTAGACTTACTCCCCGTCGAAATTCGCGATCCCGAACGACAAGCCACACGTTAGCTCTCTGTACAAGCTCTCACACAGAGTCTAAGTACAGTGTATGCACAGGGCCTTTGGCACTCTGTGGATTTGAGGAAATCCTCTTATCCATCCTAAGCCAATAACGAGGTCCGTCTCGGAACTGTCGGGTTTGCCCAGTCATCAACCGGGTGAGAGTGAAGCCCAGCTACAGGAACACAGCAGTATCGACATGTGACACTTTGCGTGGACGTGTACAGCCTTGTTTCCACAAGAAGACCCTGAATCGAACATGAATGCAAGCGCAATGTAGTCTGAGAGTGTGAAAACGTTTCGTGTGACGAAATGCTCGAACCCGCCGTCTCATTGGAACTCACGCCCAACTTCGCTTGACCTTGTTGCTCACAGTTTCCTGCAAATGGTAGGTGGGTGAGAATTGTTGTTGTTGTTTTTGTTGTTTTCCTTCACATTAAACTCGTGTCAGTTGCTAATCCCAAAATCTAGCAAAGACTCGGTCCGTGGTCACAAAAAGGCTAGAGCCATCAGAAGATCTAAAGAACACACACAATATTAGCAAGAAAAGGGTACGCAAGCCCGAGGAGGTACACCTGCAATCAATCCCTGCAGCACGTTTGCATGCTCACAACTGAAGTACACTCCCACACACTACAAATCGACTACAGCAGCAGCATCACCCCCCTTGTCCCGCATTTAACCAAAATGAATGTTTGTCGACTACAGCGTACTGCTGTCTGAAGTGCTGCCTGTACAAAAATAACACCATGGTGCATGGTACACAAGCTCGGGGCATGCAGCTGCTGTCTGAAGTGCTGTCAGAATGAGTCCGTGGAGATACAATGAAGAAGAACACCCAACCAAAGCCATCATTGCAATTGACAATCACCCAAATCTATCCAGATCATTTGTGTTAGGCACAGCAAGCATCGAAAGTGACTAGGAATCGTTCCACATTGAAGGGGTCTTCCACGATGCAGGTACACAATTAAGGCACCCGGGTTATCCGCGCCATCTCTGCCGCGTCTCTCTACAAAACCAGTGACGTCATCACACACACCCAACACCTGTATTCAGGAAAAAACGGAGAAATAATTGACAACACAAGAGATGTTTGTCCGTGCGCCACGGTTCGATGCCGTTCGCCTGCTCCGGTGCCGCTGCTCCGGTGCCGCTGTGGCCAGTCCTAGAACGACCAAACTCGACCCGCTCCGCTTCGTACACGCTCTCGTTGCTGTCCTTCCCAGTCGGTTCCTCGCTTTCTCCCTCGTTGCACTTAGGGTTCTTGGTCTAAAAATTCTCTCGCCGAAGGATCAACCAGCCCAATCAGCTCGTCACCACCTGTCCCCTCGTCCTTTGATGGCAAAACCAGGTTACTGAGGCAGTACAGCTCCCTCTAGCAAACCTAGGGCCGTGTACATAGTGCCCGTCCACCTTTCTGATGACGTCTGCCTCCGCGCACAAAGATGAGATGGGCATTGCTGCCTACACCGACGGCCTGGAGGCCCGCGCATCTGCACCTTTGTACCTGACGCACCAGTGCCGACCCAACTCCACCACTACGCACGCCTCGCGGCGGGTGCGCCGCAGCAAGAAGGAATCGGTCCCTTGAGGGTGAGTCTAGCCCTGCTCGCTAGAAACACCCCCCCCCCTCATTAAGGGTCATGCCTACGCAAAACCTTGCCGAGGCAGCGAGGGGAAGAAAGG